TAAGTTTGATTTCCAAACCAATCGGATGTGTGTATTTATTTATTTATCCCATTTCCTTGTCATATGACAGTAGAAGAAAAAAAAACAACTCATTTTTAACAACAGAGAACTAAGAACAAATATTGCCTTGCATAATTGTTATGAGGATTAAATAACATCAATGCGTGGCATGGTGCCCGACATACTCAAGAAAGGGTAATTGTTGGAGCAGGGATGAGCCTGAACCAAGACTTTTGCTTGGTTCCCCTTCTGACTAAAGGGTAGATATATAATTCAAACAAGACTAGAACTGATAAAATCTAGATTTTTTTTCTTCCTCTGTGAATTTAAAGGAAATGAAAACAAGCCTATGGCTTAATGTTTTTTAGAACTACGTTTTAACTGACTGAGATGAAGAAATACCAAGAAGATATTGCCTTTTACAAATAGTTGAAAATTCAAAATCAAAATTCAAATTTTATTTTTCACATCATGAACTAAAAAATATTTCTTTTGATGCTCCTATCTTATGTCCTCCTTAGCTCCACTCATTAATGAAAATGATTAAATGATGGTTCGGGAAAGCATTAATATTTCTCTGAATTTTAAAAATAACACATATTTTTAAACTATAGGATGTTCCTGCTTTGTAGTAATACACCTTCAGCATAACCAAACTCCAAACAAACTGATTAGCTTTAGCATATCCCAATATAAATAAAAAATAGTCCTCAGTATTTTATAAAGTTAGTTTATAGTCTATTAAAATAACAGAGCAAAGAGTATAAGGAAGAATAGTTGGAGGCATCTCTTTCTTCATCCCATGAAGACAGAAAGCCTGGGAGTGAATGGTATACAAATAAGTACAATATTTTTCATTATTAGTGTTATCTCATATTTTCTACCTGTAATTTCACCTATGCTTTATTGGCATTTACTTTAATTTTTTTTAAATCTAAAATGCTCTGAAAAATTCCATAAAAGATAATGTAAGACTCCTATAAAATCAAAATTGTTTTGAACAAAAATGAGAACATTAGAATTATTAAAATCCTTTAGTCACAAAAGTAATCCATATTTTGTGTTGGTTGGACAAAGTTTTCACTTTGGTGTTTGTCACCATGTCTCTACATGGACTATGAAGTGATGGCAGAGGCCTTTGTCTCCCTATGGAAGTAAGTACTTGGATTGTTCAAACGTCACCCCTTCTCCCAAATAATCTGAATAAATCCTTTAACAAATTAACATTGCAGTTTGGTTTCTCTTTGAGTACAGTCCACAGCCAAAATACTGCCATGTGATAGCAGAGATCTAAGGGGTGCAATGAAAATATCCAAAGGATACATTTTGTCAAGCAGAGTGTAAATGACTAGGGAAAGCTTTTCTCTTAAAAGAAGCAGTTATGTGGAAAGTATTATACCCACATTATTCTCCTAAGAAACCCTGAAGGATCTGTCCGGAGTGCTGAAAATGTCCCTGCTGGAGAAGGCTTTATAGGATGTGCCTGATGAGTTCAGGAAGCAGTATTTTTAAGTCCCAAACTAAACATCCTTTTAAACAGAAACTGAAATCTATAAAGGACAGAAATAGTCACAACTGATTCTTAAATGTGTAATTCATAGATATAAGAGAGAAATTAAAGGAGAAAATTCCTTGTGCTCTATGAAGGTAATGAGGGGCACAAAGCACACCTAACAAGCGGTAGCATGCCTGAACACGCCAAAACCCAAAAGAATGTCTAGAATGTTTTATAACTAAGAGGATTCTACAGAAAACCTTGGCTTAGCCCCACTCGGGTAAGAGACTGAATATAGTAAAAGGCAATGTTAACTTGGCTGTCCCAAATGGCCAGAACCCAACACTAAGAATACAGATTAGCTCTGCCCCAGTCTCAAGGGACTCAGAACAATAAAACAATATGTGGGGAATGAAGAAAAGGGTGGAAGGGAGATAGTGCCTTCCCACCAGCCTGTGTCAATTTCTTAGCAGGAAGTAAGGTGTTGGAGAACCTATCTGTCTGGTTACTCAAGCTTACAGTTCAGCTGAGGCAGCACCAGGATTGTTCCTAAATAAGCACAAGTTCTTGTTAACCTCTCCTCAATTTCCCTTCCCCACAGCACCTGCTCCAGAGGGAAATGAGGGCAGTTGGAAATTCGAGCACTAGTTCCGAGAGCCTTCCAGGCAGACCTTTCACTTCCCTTTGTGAGGTCCCAAGTCTGGGTTAGGCTCTGGTCACCGGCTAGCTCATGGGCCTGCCTGGGGTTCTTTCCCCAAGTCGCTGTAGCCTGGGTTCCCTCCTTGGTACGTTGCTCATGCTGCCACTGCCGGGTAACTAGCAGGCTGTGTTTCCAAAAGGAAAGATGCATCCACAGGAGAAGAAAGAGCGGGAGGGCGCAGACTGGGGTTCAGAAAGAAGCACGCTAGGCTGAGTGAGAGCTGTTGCTTTCAGCACCACCCGCTGTCCCCCCTCCTCCTGCCGCAGGCGCCACGATCGCGGCATCTTACCGATCTACTGGGAAGCGATTCTCCTTCCTTCCCTCTGCACCTTTGCTTCTCCCAATTCCGAGCCCTCCGGTGCTTTGGGGCAGCACAATCTGCATTCTAAACACGCACACCTGGCTTTAGGGAGTGAGAACTCGGATCCAAAGGCATGCAGGATCCCTTTCTCAATCCTTGCATTCATTCCCTCCTTTATACCCCATTGCTCTCGCCTTTTCTCCCAACAGGTTTAACTAAGGCCATCAGCAAATGGAGCGGACTTCAAGCTCAAGGTCTAGCCAGCCCTGCTCCACGCTCTTCCCACTCCCAAACCAAACTGTGAGCTACCCAGAAAGCTGATAGCTCCTACATCCTTCCCGGGCACAGGGACACTTGGGCACACAGACCCTTAGCAAGCTTACCCCCCTGTTGGCTGCGCAGCGGGCAGTGAGACGCAGTCTAGCTAGCTCCCCATAAAGTTGGGCTGTGCTGATCAGCGGGGCAGAGCCGGCCTCTCCATTCCCGGGCTCCCCACCAAGAAGATCTTAAGCTCATCTCCTGTGCTCAGTGCGCACAGAACAGCAGAGCTGAGGGCGGCGTGTGCAGCAATCTCCCTGCTACTGAGAAAGGGGGGAAGGGGGGAAGGGGAGCTCGAGGAGGAGGGAGGGGTGGTAGTTTGTATTTATAGAGAACAGAGTTCTCAGCGCAACTTTTTGGTGCCACCAAGTGGCACAGTGAGTTCCTTTAGGAACACAGACTTCAGGTCGAATCTGGATGGGTGAACCAGCTCTGAAGCCAGATGCTCACATGATAAAGGGATCAGAGGCAGCCCTAGGACTGCTGTACAGGACATGTGCACCTTCATATCTCAGCACCTGGGATGCAGATCCCTGAGTTCTAGGAATGAGCTTGCACTGAGGGGAAGAAGAACCTGTACCCGCCTCGGACAAGTGGCAGAGTTGTCAAGGACAATAAGCAGATGCCAGTTGCCTCCTAGGAGTCTAGGAACCCTTGTCTCAGGAAGAACAGACATTCTCCTTTCCCTCCTAACCCCTCTGCCCAGATTACAGTATTCTCAGATCTCACTCTAAAACCTTCCTGCCATCTGGAGTGCCCAACCTTTCAAGTAAGATGCCATTCATTTTCGTTGTTTTAGAATCAATTCCAGATTATTTCCCAAACCCTCAGATTCAAAGAACTTCACAGCTTGCCACCAAACCTCCTTCTTTATTACCTTAAAAAGCAAGTGACTTTGAATCTCTCCAAACAGCACTCAGAACTCTAGGTTCCCTTGGTTATAGTCTAAGTGTCTGATTGTCCTTCTCAACCATTTCCACAAACCTCTCAGCATGCATTACACCAACAGCACAGCCAGGAGCTTGCAAATGTCTTTGATACTTTGAGGGAGAATGCCCTGAAGCTTCATTTATCTTGATTTTCTGAGTGCTCTTCCTTCCTTGTATGCAGATCCAAAAACCCATATGCTCACGGACAGACAATACTGCACGGAACTTTTGTGCCCTCAAACACAGAAGAATCTCTACATTTTACAGAAATGGAGGAAATGGAGAAACTGAGTACACAAAGGTTAAGGGATTTTTCAAGGTCACACATTTTCCTAGAGACCAACCCAGGAACTACCCAGGGTGGGACTAAATGAATACAATGATGCCACACCTGACTTCCAGGCTTCCGCTCCTTCCACCACCCCATCCACTCATACTCAACTCCCTTTCCTCCCCCACCCCCACCCGTCCCTCTCTCTGACCCCATCCTTTGCCAAAGTTCCATAAAGAAACCTAGTGTAAGGATGTTTCCTTATCCCCATTGGGAGTATATGAACCTGAGCTTATAGGTCCAGAGTTACAGGTGTACCCCCTTAAAAATGGCCCCCTGTTCTAGAAAACCTCTCCCTCCTCTAATGCCGTCATGGAACTGTCATTTTAGAAATGGAACACTGGCATTCACACCCAACCAGGGTACACTTTTCAGGGTAAAGCATTAGCAAATGCTCTTACTAGCCCCCAAACACCTAATGGTCTCAAAGACAGATACCCCCCCCCCGCCCCGTTATGCACCCTTTTGTGCACATGTATCGGTATGCGAGAGAGGGAGAGAGATCGAAATCCAAACGCCTCCTTTGGCTCAGATCTCTATTTTCTCCTCTGATTTTTTTTAGTTCGTTTTCTATGGAAACAAACCCACTTAAGTCCCTCACTTATGCAAATAAAAGCAAAATTATCTTCATAAACCTCTCGTTGGAGCGACGCCGCGGTAGCCTGGGCTGCCGACTAGAAATTCGTGTCTGATTCACACAGCACACGTCCTTGCAGGGTGACTTTTCTAAACTTGCAGGACCTCGCAGCTTCCCTGGCTCCACCAGTCCTCCACCTGCCCACCACCTGCCCTCCTGGGTCCCTTTCGCCCGCGCTCCCGCCGCTCGCCGGAATGCTCTCTGTCCCCGTGCTGGGGGAGGGGCTCCGGCGGTATCCTACATCCGTGGTGACTCTCGAGCTGAAAGAAAGAAACGGCGCTGTGCTTACCAGGTGCGCGCCCTGAACCTGGCGCCCCCCAGCCAGCCTCTCCTCGCGGGCTTCCTGCGCTCGCGTGCCGGCCTGGGCTGCAGCTGGAGCGCGAGTGGCGGCGGCTGAGGCAGCGGCGGCAGGAAACTGAGCGGCTCCGGGGCCCGCGGCGGTGGCGTTCGCTCTCTCGCTCCAGCGCCGGGAGCACGTGCCGCGCTCTTGCAGACGCAGCTGGAAGCGCAGCGCAGGGCCGCTTCCTACTCCTGCAGCGCGCGGCGGGGGGGCGGGGGGCGGACCAGGGCATAGACTCTGTGGGTAACCTGGAGCCTGGAGCCTCGTAGTCTCGGGGTGCAGGCGACAGTAGCCTCGGGCTCCCTCTGCAGCTCTTCAGCTTCCCTCTGGGAGCCGCGGAAGGAGAAGAGCTGTGCGTGGAGGCGTGGGTGGTGTGTCACTCAGAGAAAAACCGGGGAAGCAGGTAGATAATAAGCTTCATCCTGACGATGACACTTAAACCCTTGACAGTGATTGGGAGAAGGGGCGTCACTGCTGGAGGGTACAGAGAACCAGGAAGTCAGGGAACCCCAAGATGATTCAGAGGTGTGAGTGCTTAGAGGGAACGGTCTCTTTAATGGCATTACTTATTAATAATGCCATTTCACATTTGTCTGCACTTCTTACAAACGATTATTTCTACATCCATTAAAATTTCTCTCTCCTTAGTAGTTAAGTATGTTTTACTTATTCAAATGACTTTCCTTTCCCTCCCCCCACCCCCATAACTACCAAGACTGCAAAAAATGCTGAAGTTATCTTTAAATTCCAAAAACAGACTTCATTTCTGCCTCTGAAAAAGAGATTGGTATAAATTAATTGCATGGCATAATTTAAAGAAAAGAAAGACATTGCAGTAATAGGATTATTACTATTCCCATTTTATTTCCCCAGCTGAATTTTAGGAGCCAGGTGCTTGCAGCAGTTGGATGAAAGACTGAAAGCTGAGGACGCTCAAGTTGAGGGGGTTGGTCCTGATGAATACATTACTAATGGAGATTTCCCACCAGACCCTTGAAAACAAAAGTTGTTCTTTGATAGCTTCGGGATTCAACAAGGAAAAGATATGTTATCTACCACACCTTGTTGATCTTCACAATGGCATCTTTCTTCTCCACATTTTCCTGTGTACTCTGATGGTGGCATTGTTAATTTCTCAGATTCTTTGATTGCAATCCCGGAAGCAAGCTTTAGTACTTTGTAGACAGGCTAGCAAAGTTGTGGTTGATCTTCCTGAATGAGAAAGATGAGAAAGATGGTGAAATACAAAATACAAAAATAGTGAGAGTTCCCAGGAAAATAATGGGGAGCTAGTGGCTAGCTGAATTCTGCAGATGTGATTAAGTTTGATGTACAAAATGATTTGTTAGCCCAGTTGTCTGGGGCATTGATGATAAGGACAAGGTCACAAATTTGATCCTGGCCTGGACTACTTAACTTTGAGTGAGCATAGGACACACTAAGTTCCCCATCCTTCTTCATCAGTTGGAACTAGCTCAAAGCACATCAGTGAGTGAGCTCAAACCTAAGTAAGAAGGGGTTCTCATGGTGGATACTCAGTTACTTAAACTGTTCAATTTCCTATGCATATTTCCTGCCCAGCTATCTGCCAGGGTTGTGGAGAGTATGGGGTGCAATAAGACATGTCAGAGCATGTCAGAAATGATAAAGTACTCCATAAATGGAATACATAGTTTACCAAGACATATCCACTTCTAAAAGTTAAAATGCAAAGGACATTCCCCATGTTGAACAATAGTGATATTTTCAGCTGAGAAGGAAAACACAGTTATATAATCATGAATTGCTCAGTGACATTTTACAATATAGCCTTACCTCATAATGGTAATGTGCTAAATTAGGCAAAATAAAAATTTAAAGAAGCAAAGAAACAATGTTTTAAGTCCCCAAAATAAGTTTTGATGGTAAAACGTTCAAAGGTGTTTCTTTTGCCTTAGGATGAGCTATTAATAATCAAAATATTGTAAATCTTATGTAGAATAGTATAAAGGAATGAAAAAGTTATTTATACTTATAACTGATTAAGTATAAAACTTGGAATTTTCATTCATTCCTTACTTTCTCTCACACATGATAATTGGTCAGAAAATAGCTCTACCTTCGAAATGTATCCAAGAATGTTATCACTTCTAACTACCTTCACAGATACTGTGTTGAATCAAGCCATCATCATCTTTTACCTGCTTACAGCAATAGCTTCCAAACTGGTCTTTCAGCTTCCTCACTTTTTCTCTATAGGCACAGCAGCCAGAGTGGTTTCTGTTTGTTTGTTTGTTCGCTTTTTAAGGAATTTAGCTTAAATCAAAACCCTCCAATAAATTTCCATTTTACTCGGAGTCAACACCCAAGTCTTTACCATGACTCCACATAATCTGTCCCTACTTCATTACCTTTCTGACTTCATTTCCTAGTACTCTTCCCTTTTCTTTGCTCCTTCTGCTCCAGCCGCCAAGACTCCCTTGCTATTTCTTAAACATGCTTAACATGCTCCAATTTAATGGTCTTTGCATCATTAGCTGTTTCTTCTGCTTGGAATGCTCTGTTCACAAGTAATCATTGAGCTAAATTCTCTCCTTCAAATCTTTGCTAAAATCTTATCCCAAATAAGTCCTTCCCAGACTACCCTATTTAATACTACAGACTATTCTCCCTCATGATCTCAGTGTCTCTGATCCCCTTTACCCAATTCTGTTTTCCTCCATAGCTCTTAATACAGTCCAGTATACTATATAATTTCTCATTTGTTAGATTATTCTTTATTGTCTGCCTATTCCCCTCCCTCCCATTAAATGTAAATGCCTCTGGGGCACCTGGGTGGCTCAGTTCATGATCCTGGAGTCCCAGGATCGAGTCCCGCATCGGGCTCCCTGCTCAGCAGGGAGTCTGCTTCTCCCTCTGACCCTCCCCCCTCTCATGCTCATTCTATCTCATTCTCTCTCTCAAATAAATAAATAAAATCTTAAAATAAATAAATAAATAAATGTAAATGCCTCAAGAAAAGGAATCTTTGTTATTGATATATTCCAAACACTGAGAAGAAAATTCTAGAATATAGAAGCCACTCAATAAATATGTTTGAATGTTTAAATGAATCCGTAAATAGAGGTATACATTGCACACACTGCCCTTCATTTTCCTAGTAGGCATCACTGATAGTAAGTCATGGGAATGTTTGCAGGACGTCAGCCCTTGTGCCCAACCTGGGCACACTTCACCTCTTACCCTCTTCTGTCTTTGCATTTGTGCTTCTTAGACTTAGCCAGCTCATGTTCTAGACTCCAGAAGGATTAGTGTAATCCTAAATGTTTCACAAATATCTGGTTATCTGAATCCATCAACTAACAGATCATAAGTAGCCTTTTAAAATAATTGGTCCAAGTGAATTTATTTTCATTCCTTTAATGGTAACTCATCAAGTACCTATTTTTTTTTTTTTTTGGCCTGTTACTATAAAAAAGACTGCAATAGAATGATGAACAAAATACTGGCTTGACTTTAGAAAACCTAAAGTTCTTAAGTATGTGTGTATGAGCATATATATGTTTATTGATTTGTTCATACCATTTATTGTATATTTATTAAACTACAATGCACCAGGCTTGGCTAAGTGTTAGAGATGCAATGGTGAATGAACTAGAATGGGTCTTTGTCCTTATGGAGCTTAAAGTCAAGTAAGGGTTGGGTCACACAAACAACCTAATATGTCTTGCAACTTGTGGGACGGGCAATGAAGAATTGAACAAGGTAAGTTATAAAGAATAGCATGGCATGAAGAAGGGCCTGGATATCTTTCTATAGAACATTAAAAAATAAATGAAACATAAAAAAATTCTCTCTGAGATAGTAATATTAAAGATCCAAAAGAGTCAACTATGCAAAGAATGTTGCATGTGTGTTTGTGTTTGTATGGGTTGGAGGTAAGGGAGAAATGGTTGACCAGTGAAAGTGAAGAAAGGAAGGGGCTTATAGGCATAGGGAACAACAGCTGGAACTTCTGAGGCAGGAGAACACTTGCCATGTTTTAGAAACTGAAAAGACATTGGTATCAGTGAACTAGAGCTTGGAAAACCTTCACTGTATCTCAGTATGCTCAACTGCAAAATGGAGGTTGTTATTTTATCAGATTTTATTTAATAAATTTCAACTATTTTCTTTTTTTAATTATGATTTAAATTTAATTAATTAACATATAATGTATTAGGTGTTTCAGGGTACAGGTCAGTGATTCATCAGTCTTATATAATATGCAGTGCTCATTACAACACATACCCTCCCCAATGTCCATCACCTAGCTACCCCATCCCTCCCACCCCCCTCCACTCCAGCAACCTTCAGTTTGTTTCCTAAGATTAAGAGTCTCTTATGGTTTGTCTCCCTCTCTGGTTTCATCTTGTTTTATTTTTATCCTCTCTTCCCCTATGATCCTCTGTCTTATTTCTTAAATTCCACATATCAGTGAGATCATATAATTGTCTTTCTCTGATTGACTTATGTGAACGAGGCAATTATATATAAAAGTCATTAGAAATAGAAAATGAAAGCCATGCAGAAAGAAGAGGTGACACACACTCCAGTATTTTTGACTAGTGCAGGATCTGTGGTCTACCAGAAAATATTTAATTATGAGTTCACTAGGAAACAAAAAGAAGAGGGCAGATGTCTTACCTAATTATTATTATCTAATGTAAGAACATGAGTTTGTTCTTCGAAAAAAATTTTTGTTAGTAAATGCTAATGTCATTCCATAGACACTTGTATAAACTGTCCTTAAAGACTCAAGGCCTTCAACAAGGATTTTACAACAAAAATACAAACCTTTTTCATATTACATGGTCTTAATATAAAACTCCAATCTAGGTTCCAGGCAAAATATGGAAATTTAACTCAAAGAAGTTGTAACTTATGGGTCTAGTGTTACTTATCTATTCTCCAAGCAGGCCAGATTTAGAATATGGCCCCAGGAATTTTTTTTATTTGTCTGATACTGGGTAAAAAAAATAATAAAAGCTTTATTTCTCAGTACTTGAGAAACTATAAGTATTTCAGTCAGTGTTTTCCAGGACAAAGTCCTGTCCAACCAGTGTTCTTGGAAACATCTCCACTCTGTGATCATTGGCCA